GGATGGCAACTTTCAAGTCTGTAACTGTATGTCCAGGGAGGTTAAGATATTCTCCCCCTGGTGTTTGTCACCATTCTCGTTTTCTGATTTGTCTCTTTATTTGTTGTGCAGAGACAGTCTGGTTTGTCAAATGTTCATGGCACTTGATAGCTCACATCAAGTTAGTACCTGTGCAGGTAAACGAGCCTTTGGTATGTCTGATGTGTTTAGGTCCTGTGATGGTGTTGCTAGGGAAGATGCGTGGACTGTGTTGGCAATGGGGTTTGTGGCAGTGCTTGGTTCCTGGATTAGTATGCTTGCTGTGGGGTGTATGGCTGGTGGGGAGTGCTGTTACAGGTTGGGGTGGATGTCTGTGAGAACTGGCCTGCTTCCCGGGGTCTGTGCGAGGGACTACACTGGACCCGTCAGCTTGGCTTAGGTACACAACTCCAGCTACACAGAATATATAACTGGAGTTGGCTTACTATAAGCGAGCTTGGCGCTGTCCCGACAGTGGGAGGCTGACAGGAGTAAACACTCCCATTGGCTTCCCTTACTCCTTGCAAAAGCAGGAGCAGCAGACACTGGCAGGGACACCATCTGAATTGGATTTAATGAGTCTTAACTAGACTCGCTGAATCAAGCTCTGGAAAATCGATTGCTGTAGCGGCGATCTTTCATTGAGTGTAGACAACTTTTTCAAGGGATTTCTGGACACATACATTGGATAAAATGCTGCAAAATATTTAGTGATCATAAGACTCTTTTTGGAGGCCCTACAGAGTGCTTGGTGCTAGATAGGTAGGTTCCTTTCCTGGAGAGCTCACGTGAACAAGATGCTTCAGATTATCTTGGAATGCTGCCATGGCGTAGGGAAGAGGAGTTTAGATGTTCTGGGAACTGGGGAAACTTTTGGGATAGGGGGAGCCTATAAAGGAAGGATGGGCTCCACCTAAACCAAAAAGGCACCAGTTGATGGCACTTAAAATTAGAGGTCATAGAGCAGTTTTTAAACAAAGGACTGGGAAAAAGCTGACAGGTGCAGAGAAACACATGGATGGGACAGACATTCCTTAGGAGAGGGTGTATATATAGTACAGAGGAGAGGATGGAAGACAAGATATGGGTAAGATCTGATGAGAAACAGTCAAATGAAAAAGAAACCCGTTCAATCAGTTTAGGTAATGGCAGACAGCTAAATAATGGCAAGTTTTTCAAGTGCTTGTATACAAAAGCCAGTAGCCTAAATAATAAAATAGGTGAACTAGAGTTTCTTGCATTGAGTAAGGTTATTGATATAACAGGCATCACAGAAATTTGGTGGAATGAGGATGAACAATGGAACACAGTCATACCAGAATACAAAATGTATCAGAAGGACAGTACAGGTCGTGCTGGTGGAGGATTAGCACTATACATGAAAGAAAACGGTAGATTCAAATAAAGTAAAAATCTTAAATGAACCAGACTCTTCCATAGAATCTCTATGGATAGTAGTAATTCCATGCTCTTATATGACTATAGCAGTAGGAATATATTACCGACCAACTGGCCAGGATGGTGACAGTGACTATGAAATGCCAAAGGTGATTAGTGAGGTTATAAAGATGATAAACTCAATGGGGGATTTCAGTTATCGCTATATTGACTGGGTACACGTCACTTCAGGATGGGATGCAGAGAGAAAGTTTCTTGACACCTTAAATGATTGTTTCTTGGAGCAGCTAGTTCTGCAACTCACAAGGAGAGGCAATTCTTGATTTAGTCTTAACTGGAGCACAGGATCTGGTTCAAGAGGTGAATATAGCTGGACCGCTTGGAAATAGTGCCCATAATATAATGAAATTAAACATCCATTTGGTGGAAAAAACACCTAAACAGACCAACAGGGTGGCATAATTTCTGAAAGGTAACTACACAAAAAACAAGGAGGTTAGTTAAACAAATTCAAAGGTACAGTGCCAAAAGTAAAATTCCTGCAAGCTGCATGGAAATTTTACAAGGACACCATAATATAAGCTTAATTTAAATGTATATCCCAAATTTAAAAAACACAGTAGGAGAACCAAAAAAGTGCCTTCGTGGCTTAAATAGCCAAGTAAATGAAGCAGTGAGAGAGCACTGTTTAAAAAGTAGAAGTTAAATCCTAGTGAGGAAAATAAAGAGATCTTGGAGTCATTGTTGATAGTTGTTTGAAAACTTCCACTCACTTTGCAGCAGCAGTCAAAAAAGCAAACAGTGTTATGAATCATTTAAAAAAAGGGATAGAGAATAAGACAGAATATCTTATTCTCTCTCTAAAGCCGTGGTATGCGCACATCTTGAATACTGTGTACAGATGTTGTCACCTCATCTCAAAAAGATATCTTGGCATTGGAAAAAGTTCAGAAAAGGGCAACAAAAATGATGAGGTGGTTTAGAACAGGCATCACATGAAGAGATACAGGCAGTCCCCGGGTTACGTACAAGATAGGGACTGTAGGTTTGTTCTTAAGTTGAGTCTGTCTGTAAGTCAAAACTGGCATCCAGATTCAGCCGCGGTTGAAACTGATCAGTTTCAGCAGCGGCTGACGCCAGTTTCCGACTTACAGACAGACTCAACTTAAGAACAAACCTACAGTCCCTAGCTTGTACGTAACCCGGGGGCTGCCTGTATGTTGACTTTCTCTCAGCTGTCTGGGTACCAGTTACAAATGAAATATGCAGCAGTTGTGTGGACCAGATGCCTTCTATACTTATGTCTGGAGTTTCTCACATTCTGAACTAAGTCTAGGGAAAAATCATAGAAGGCACCCAGGTTTCCAATATTATATATTTCCTTACTGAATTAAATAACTAAGCAAAAACACAAAATACATATTCATAATACACAATCCTGACTGAACTTTGTTGGTAAACCACTCTTCAGTTTTCATGGACCTGGAGCAAGGCTTGACTTTGAAAGACAGTGTCTTGCATATGCAGGGCCCTAATCTGAGTTTCTAAATGCTGCAGAACATCTACCAAGCCCAACAAGAGGATGTTAGATTTTTTAGAATCCATCAAGAAAAAAAAAGTTCCCAGTGTTCCCTGTAAGCTGTGGGCTTGTGAAGCCACTCAGGAGAGATTCAAATGACACCCAGCTAATGAGGTTTTTTGTTTCTGCTGGTGGTGCATATTCACACACACCTCAGTGCCCATAAAAATTATTCCATACATGGAAAGAAAAATATCCATACATGTATGGAAAAAGATTAGTGGGAACATTAGCAGCTACCCCTTTTTATTTTGAGCTGCTCAAACTACCACAAACTGGAGCATGAGTATTCATGTCTAGGAGACAGAGCTGTAGTGCACATCTGGGCGTCCGCCGCTCCTGTCCTCCGGGGCGAGAAAAGCCCCGTTCGTAACTGCGGATCCGACATAAGTCGGATCCGCGTAACTCGGGGACTGCCTGTATTAAAAAGACTCAGACATTTCAGTTTAAAAAAGAGGAGACAGGGAGAGGATATGATAGAATTCTCTAAAATCATGACTGGTATGGAGGAAGTAAATAAATAAAAGTCAAGTATTTGTTCCCATAACATAAGAACGAGGGGTCACCAAATGAAATTAATAGGTAGCAGGTTTAAAATAAACAAAAGGAAGTATTTCTTCATGCAACACACAGTCAACCTGTGGAACTCGCTGCTGGAGGATGTGGTGAAGGTCAGCACTTTAACAGGGTTTTAAAAAGATCTGGATAAATTCATGAAAGTTAGGTCCATCAGTACTTATTAGCCAGGATGGAGAGGGATGGTGTCCCTAGCCTGTGTTTGTCAGAGGCTGGGGGGAATGGGTGACTGGGGAGGTATCACTATGTTTGCCTGTTCTGTTCATTCCCTCTGGGGCACCTGCACTGGCCGCTGGCCGTAGACAGGACACTGGGCTAGATGAGGATTTAGTCTGACCCAGTGTGGCCCCTCTCATGTTCATGGTGAAAAAGCTCTGGAGAAGAAATGTTTGCTATGGCACTTTAGGCATTTGATTTGCTGAACAGAGTCTCTTCCAGGGATGGGAGTGAGAACAGTACCAGAGAGAGGCTGTTCTGGTAGTGGGTCCTGTGTACCTTAACCCAGCTCCAGAGCATGAAGCTCTGCTCCCCCTCCCTGCGGGCTGTCTGTGCTGAGAGGGCACTTCCCCCTCCCTGCGGGCTGTCTGTGCTGGGAGGGGGGCTTCCGCCTTTCCCCTCCCTGCGGGCTGTCTGTGCTGAGGGGATGCTTCCCTCCTCCCTGCGGGCTGTCTGTGCTGAGGGGATGCTTCCCTCCTCCCTGCGGGCTGTCTGTGCTGAGGGCACTTTCCCCCATTGCTTCCCCCCATTTCTCCCTCTCATGGGCTGTCTGTGCTGGGGGGTGCTTTTCACAATGGGCTGTCTGTGCTGGTGGGGCACTTCCCCCCCACCCCGGCCTCCCGCTTGGGCTGTCCGTGCTAGGGGATATTCCCCCACCCCCCCATGGGCTGTCTGTCCTGGCATGGGGGTACACACTTCCCCTTTCCACTCTGTGAGGAAGGGGAGTTTTTTTCCCCTGTCTGGATGACTCTGGTGTTGTCCTCAGTCTGCTTTCTCCTAGCCTTTGCTCTGCTCCGCTTTCTCCTCCCCTTTCACTTCTGGTTTCTGTGCTGTCAGAAGGAGGCTCCCTGGCCACTCTGCCTTACTTGGACACTTGCGGCGTGGGCCCTGCTGGCTTCTCACTTCTCCCTTTGTTCCTCAGCAGATGAGGCTGTGGCAGCCAGCGCAGAGCAGCCCTTGCTGATGCCCACATGAGGAAGCAGTGCCATTTAGTCCTCCTGGGATCCCCGGCGAGGAGGGGGGGAGGGTAGCCGGCTGCTCTACCAACCACACGCCGGTGAGCGATGCCCCCGAGTGGTGCAGGGGTGTCGTGGTGACTGGGCAGAGCCCGACACCGTTACGCTACGGCCTTGGCAGTGATGGTGCTGAAGCCGTAGCTGGCCTGACTGTGGATCAATATGGCATGCTGTACAAAGTGGCTGTGCCTCCAGCGAGGAGGGGGGGAGGGTAGCCGGCTGCTCTACCAACCACACGCCGGTGAGCGATGCCCCCGAGTGGTGCAGGGGTGTCGTGGTGACTGGGCAGAGCCCGACACCGTTACGCTACGGCCTTGGCAGTGATGGTGCTGAAGCCGTAGCTGGCCTGACTGTGGATCAATATGGCATGCTGTACAAAGTGGCTGTGCCTCCAGCCACCTTCTCTCCCACTGGCCTCCACCCAGTTGTGAACATGAGTCCTCTGCCCCCGAGCTTTAATGTAACCTCTTCCCTGATCCAGCATCCAGGGATTCCATATCCTCCCATCCACTATGCTCAGATTCCCTCTACATCGCTGCAGTTCATAGGGTCCCACTACACAGTGCCCTATGCTGTCCCCCCCAGCTTCCTCCCTAGCCCTCTTCTATCCCCATCTGCCAGCCTCCCCACCTCCCATGTTCCCCGCTTTGTGCCATATGCCTCTCTCTTGGCAGAGGAAAGCCCTCCTTCCCCACAGACTACCTCTCCTGCCCACACTTTCAGCAAAGCTGCCTCTGCCCTCTCCCCTCCCGGCCACATGCAGCACCATGCTGGAGTCCAGCCGCTGGACATCACACAGAGCAGAGTTCCTGTCTATTACCAGATGTCTCGGCTCCCACCAGGCTATTCACCATACGAGACCTCCGCTGTGGAGGGGAGCCCAGAGCCGCCTCTGCAAGAGAGTCCCCTGAGCTCAGAGGTCGCCTCTGCCAATGGGGGACAGGGACATCTGGAGCCCAGTGTGGTGAGGAGGACCAGTGAGGCATTGGCCTCTGCCAGCAATAAAGCTGCCGGCCCGCTTCCGGGGGCTGCAGTGCAGTGTGTGGTGGACGGGCAGCTCCTTTCTGGTTATCAGACTCGGAGGACAGAGGACTCTGTGCCGGCTCACAGAAACACGCCAGACACGGACTTGGAGGTGCAGAGAGTGGTTGGCGTGCTGGCGGCTCAGGATTACTCCATTCTGACCGCCCGGAGGAAGGATGGCCCGAGCCCCTTGAACCTCTGCCATACTGTCCCTGGTCAGCAGGGGGAGCCACGGGGCTTGCTGAGAGAGCCAGTGGAAACAGCTGAGAAAAGTCAGGCCAGGTGTCCATACGTGGTGGCCCCTGAGGAGCTAGGGAGAGACAGGCTGTTACCCAAAGGAATGGTGATAGCCAATGGCAGGCCAGTCTTGGTGCGTATTGGCTCTGAGCCCATCAGGTCTTCTGCTTCAGAACCCCTGATGAGCCAGAGTCCAGATGCACAGGCTTGCGGAAGCTCCCGGGGCAAGGACTCAGCCCCGTTGCAGCCCCCCAGCGCCTCAAATCTGCCCTCCCATTTCATGAAAGGAGCCATCATCCAGCTGGCCACAGGGGAGCTGAAGAGGGTGGAAGACCTGCAGACACAGGACTTTGTGCGGAGCGCGGAGGTGAGCGGGGGCCTGAAGATTGACTCCAGCACAGTGGTGGATATCCAGGAGAGCCAGTGGCCCGGGTTTGTCACCTTGCATTTTGTGGTTGGGGAGCAGCAGAGTAAAGTGAGCATTGACGTCCCCCCCGAGCATCCCTTCTTCGTGTATGGCCAGGGCTGGTCCTCTTGTAGCCCAGGGCGGGCCGCTCAGCTCTTTGCTCTGCCGTGTCACAGGCTGCAGGTGGGTGATGTCTGCATATCAATCAGCTTGCAGAGCTTGAATGGCAGCTCCGTGTCTCAGGCTAACTGCCCTCTTGCAGGCCAGCTGGTGCCTGCCAGAGAGAGGCCTGAGAGAACAGTTCAGGGACCCAGAGAGCCACCTCCATCTGACAGAGCCAGTGAGAGGAAGAATCAGACAGAAAGGGAGCGTGCAGCCCAAGTGTCCTGTGCCGAGTCCTCCCAGCCTGCCCCAGGGGCTCAGCACTGCTGGACAGCCCCAGGCTTCCAAAGATACAGTGTGCAGGGGGAGGAGTCTCGGCCCTCCCTGCTCCGCCCCTCTTTCATTCCACAGGAGGTCAAGCTGTCTATCGAAGGGCGCTCTAATGCAGGGAAGTGATCTCTGTGAGGCCATGACCTGGGACGTCACCTGTGAGTGAGCCTCACCTTTATCAGGTGGAAAATTTGCACAGACTGGGTGGTGGGTTCACCAGCGAGGCTGCTCTTTGCCATGTTGAGCTGGGTTTGCTCTAGTTGGTCACCAAGGAATCTAGAGGGCTCCAGTCCTCAGGGAGCAGCAGCAGTGAGCTAGGTAAGGATGTGGTGGTGAGCGTGGCTCTAGACGCATTCCAGGGGTTGGAACTCAGTGCCTGAGTTTCCTGCAGGGCAGGGTCAGAGCATTCAGGATGAGTGGGGAAGCCAAAAAGGGCAGACCCCAAAAGCCACAGCTTAAGGTAGCAGATAAAATCTCTCAAGTTCTTATTCCTCTTTTCGTGGTGGGCAGGGGGGAGTTCCCACTGGGATTCAGGGGACACTGCTCCCAGCACCCCCTTTCTTCACACATGCACTTTAAAAGGTAACTTCTTCACAAATGGAGCTGTTTGTGAGGTGGGGGGAGATGCAGGTGCTGCTCTGGTGGCCTCTGCTTGATGTGTCTCCTCCACTGAATCCTATTGAGCTTTCTACTAGCAAAGCAGCTGTAGAAAATGAGACTGCCGTGAATACTAGAAATTGGAGCGGAAGGTCCTAGAGGATGGGTAGCAAGTATTGAACAGGGAACTGGGGAAGGGCCTATGGCAGCTTGGATGGGATATGAGTTGTAGTTAATTCTCATCTATACAGATACCTACATAACTATTTGTCACCAAAGCAAAGTTTAATTACAGCATGTCCTAGTGGGGTGATACTCAGACTGAAGCATGAGTCTCTGTCAGCTCTTTGCAGCACATGATATTTAAAAAGTGTGATGTAATTATTAGCCAATCAGGATATTTTTACTGTACTAACCAATTGTAGAATACTTGGTCAGTCATTTTGCTGTGAGAAAACTATACAAGTATATTTTATACGCATACACACACACACACGCAGACATTTATGAAGAATAATATGAATAACGAATCAGTGAGTTCACACTAGAGTGGCTCTTTTGGGTAACATTGATCGCTAATTTAGCTCCTGGACTGCTGAGGTCTGAGTATCGCTCTCCTAGTTGCAATTGCTGTAATAAAGGTTATATGAAGACTACGTTTTAAAGTGTTCTTTGCATGGTTATAACTTGCTAAAATAATTTCCTTTTGGATTTAAACCTTCCATTCCTGGATTCAGCTTATATCTGAATTGTGGAGGTAGAGGGGAATGCTTTTAAGTTGTCCTTTAGACGTGGATGAAAGTATATTCTTCCACCTTGAAAATCCTGACACTTGCGTGCATCAGTAAATCAAAATCGGCTGAATGGTACCAGACAAATTTCCTGGTGGCTAATCCCTCCTTCCAGGGTAACTTGTTAACTATGACAATTATACACAATAGAAAAATGAGTGTGGAGGCATGATACGAAAGTTTCACTAAGTGTAGCATCTCTACTAATTGCAGGATGGTGGCAGGCATAACGTGCTATATCTTTGGACAGCTTTGTAGGTGTTCTTTTACACTGGATGTTCTGGTGCTTCATTGTGGAGTTGCACTGAAATCGAGAGATGACTCTCTTAAAGGAGGGTGTGTAGAAGTATTTCGTATTTGACTCTGGTAGTAACACTCCATCCACGTGAAGGTACTTGTACTCCTGTTAACTTGCTCACTCTGGGCATCGACAGCACAGGAAGAAACTGACTAGGCCAGCCAGGCAGTGAGAATAAGAGCACGTTCACTTTGGCACATCCAGACTTTTGTGTATTCATCATTGTATCCCAGCCAACAGCTGGTGTCCTGGGAACATGCCTGTGTGGGGGTTAGTGTGTACAAGGAGTGCATGCACCTCAGGCTGCTGGCTGGGTTCCTGATGCTTGTTTCACATCTTGCTTTCTCCTTTTTTCCTCAGTCTCCACCTTCCCAAGCATGGCTGCCTGCTGCTATTAGGTGCGATTTTTATACTGCCTCCCTGAATAGCGTGGGGTCACCTTCAGCTGCTGAACAGTCCCTACACCGTTCGTCTTCCTCCCCAGCAGTCACTGTTCTGCTGAGCCTGCTGTAGCCGTAGCCACTAACAGATCTGTGTCCACATTCCCCTGGACGTGCCCCCGAGCAAGTTGGCACTGGCACATGTGCACTTTGTGGAACTCGGCGAGGCAGTAAGAAGGGTAGAGGCTCTGCAGAATGTTCCTTCACCTGGCACCTCTGCCCGTGTCCCTAGAACACCCCATGCCTGCCCTTGTGTCTCTCCCCAAGGCAAGCAGGTGCTTTCCCTGCCTTGCTCCTGAGTTGGGCTGATGTCCGGAAGGTGCCCTAGACCTGCGGCAGTGTAGCCTCACCCAAGGCCCCCCAGAGCACAGATCCAAGCTGTCTTCCCTTTTCTCTGGGCCCTGGCTGTACAGGCTGCAGCTCCCTCTGACCAATATGCCTAAAACCAAAAGAACACTTTCTTCCTGGGAAACTTTGGCTTCCCTTGGCGGCAGCGACAGAGAGGACCGGTGTTCGCACAGCACCTTTGGGCTGTGACACAGATGGGCCACTCCTCAGGTGCTGGGCTTCTCATCACACTTCTTCCCTGGCATTTCACTTACATGTCACCCTCTTGAGTCTCCTGCAGGAAAATCCTGGTGGTGACACTGGCTTGTCACAGCACCTTTGGGCTGTGACACAGATGGGCCACTCCTCAGGTGCTGGGCTTCTCATCACACTTCTTCCCTGGCATTTCACTTACATGTCACCCTCTTGAGTCTCCTGCAGGAAAATCCTGGTGGTGACACTGGCTTTTTCCCCGTCCCGAGTCGCCTGCATGTTGCATGTGGCCCAGGCCCAGTGGGCTGAGGTCAGAGGTACAGGAAATGCAAGTGGGCTGGTGGTGTGCAGAGGGAGGTGATGTGAGCAGTGGAGCAGCTGTGTGTGTACTAAATACAGAAGCCCCTTTGGCCCTCTTGGATAGGGCTTTGAAGAGTGTGCTTCATGCACCCATCTCCTTCGCTGTGCTCTGTCAGACGCCGACTCCTTCGAAGCCACCTACAGCCAGGCTAATTGGTTGGCTGTGGGGTGGACCATGTGTCCCACAGTTTGCTCTTCACCTTTTGCCACCTGACCACCAGTCTGTCCTGCCGCCTGCTGGCGTATCTCGGCCAAGCACAGCTGCCCTGAACAAAGCCAGTGACATTTCTCAGTGCTTTCCTCTTCTGCCTAGTTCAGCAAGTCCAATCTACCTGGCACTCTTCTACCCTGGATCCTTATGCCCCACGGAGGCCACATCCCAAGGAGAGTACTAGCTAGGACACTGCACTTGCTCCGGAAGCAGGGAAGGGAAAGGGAGCACAGGAGCTGCCTTGGCCCTGGCTGGTGAGGTGCCCGGACAGTCAGCAGAGTCTCTCCTCACTGGTTCTGGGCTGCCGGCGGGTTTCAGGAAAGTCTGGAGGTGGTAAGTGTGGGAGAAGCTGAGAGGAGTGCGTGTGGAGGAGCCCAGGGCAGAGCCTGCTGGGATTCTGTGGTTTGCAGGATGGGATGACCTGCACGAGGTTCCAGCCTGAGCTGTCTGCAGGGCTTCTATCTTGGTGGGGGAAAGGAGGAGAGTTGCCAGAGCAATAAGGTGTTTCTGCTGTTACACTACAGAGGGAAGGAGAGCTGGTAGCCTCAGCCTCCCCTGGGTTCCTCAGGCACATCTTCCCTGCCGGGCTCACAGGGAAACTCTGGGAAGATTCCAGAATATGCAATAACGGGGCTCTGCAGCCAGCTGTTCCATCTCCTGACTCGGTCCAGGGGAGCGCTGCTCAGCAGAGACCAGGCTGGCTGCTAGGGTGTCCGCTGTTTCCCCAGGGGCAGGGGACAAGGTCTGAGTGACAACTCCCCGTACTCCCAGACTATGCAGAGGGGGCCCTGGCGACACAGGAGGGGTGCTGCAGAGGGAGCCCTTCCTAGCAGGGGCACTGGTGAAAAGCACTTTTCACATTGAGCGTTTGTTCCATTCCATCCCTTTCGTTCCCTGGTAGAGACGTACAAGTCCCACGCGCTTCGCAGGGTTCTGTGCGCTAGGTGCAGCAGCGCTCGTCAGACTCTGTCTCTTGGGCGGTGCAGGGCCTGGCATGGGAAGGGGGCTGCTCAGATGGCTCCGAAGCATGTTGTGTACAGGGCATGCTCTTGCTGCCAGGAATGTGTGCACGGAGGGCGCCCCCCCGGCCGCATTCAATATCTGTGCATAGTGAGGTGCAGCCCCTACAACCCTTGCCTTGCATGCTAGACCCGTGACACAGGGTATAACCCAGTTTGTTGCCATGTGCTTAGCACCTTACGGTCCAGGGCAGGACCGTGCGTACATTGGGCTTTGGGGTCTCCAAGTAGGGAAGTGCCACACTGGGGAAATGGGCTGGGCTGGCCCACAGCTAGCTAGGTAGTGTAGATAAGTACTCAACCCGCAGCTATAATCCCCAGTTATGTAATGGCTGTATTGACATGTAACCAGCTGCATTGTATCTAAAGCCTTAGAACTAGGCAGGTGCTCCCCTCCAGCCCTGTCCCATCCCTCTGCCTACCTGATCTTTAACAAAGCATTAATAATTCGAAGGATAATCTCTATTTTGTTGTGCTTTTTTGTAACTGTTTGAAATAAATCAATTTGTACTGTATATTTGTACTCTTGGTGAGATCCTTTCCTGTTTTCCCCTTGGAAGTCTGTACTTGGCTACACACAGATTGTATTTTTATTGTTAATGCTCTTCTTATGAATATTGCATTTAACTCGTTGACTATGTAAACACAGTATATATCTATATATCTATATATAAACCAATAGCTTTTCCTTCTGTGTTTGCGCCTTGCTTCTCTGTGGCACCGATGCTTCTGTGCGCATTTGAGTGCAGGCGCCTCAGCTACGAGGTGATCCGGGAGCTGACAATGCAAGGGGAAGAGGCTGGAGCCAGCTGGTAAACATGGCTTACGATTAGCGTGTGTTCAGACCCTCTGCACCGTACACCCAGTTCCTGCAGCCATTCCTCTAGGCTAGCCCTGGCCAGT